CCCCCCCCCGTGTTTTCGTGAGGCTTCGATGGCTCTCTCGACGACGATAATTTCCTGTTGGCGGTGCTTCCCGACCAAGCTGTCCTGCATAGAAGGAGGCCCTGACCGAACCGAAGGGGCGATGTGATGCGAGGCGACCCGATGCCTGCACCTCTGTCAGCCTTTCAATAGACTGTAATCCAATCAAAGAAATACTTAACTGTTATAGATATATCCACTGTTGAAACCACTGTTGAAACATTCACTTTCCCTGCCACGACCCACCTCCAAACCCTGGCACCTCCTTCACTGTTATTTTCTTCTTTCGGTAGGACGGCTCCGGTTCGATCGACTTCGAGGAGTTTCTCAACATGATGACGGCCAAGATGAGCGACAAGGACACGCGGGAAGACATCAACAAGGTGTTCAACCTCTTCGACGACGACCAAACGGGACACATTACCCTCAGGAATCTCAAGCGCGTGGCGAAGGAGTTGGGGGAGACGATGTCAGGTGAGCTGAGAGGATGGCCGTCAGAGGTTTTCAGCGCCGTGAGCCGGCGGTTGTGGGAGGTGGGGTGCATTGATAGCCGTGCATGTCGTAGCCGTTAGACCATTGACCTCGTATCCCTACAAAGTTGGGGGGGGAGGGGGGGAGGCGTACTCTTGTTTTGCATGCCTTGGCGGCTAGACCATTAACCACGCGTCCTCGAGACGTTGGATCCTTTTGCCCCTGTGGCGAAGGGGCGTTTTGAGAGAGATATCTAGTGCCTCGGGCGTCACGCCACTGTCCGCCTTAGTCCATGCCGTGCGTTTGCTGACACGGTACCTTCGTCTCACAAGGTTGTCAAGGAAACAGAGACAACGAGAGTACTCTGCGATGTTCGAAGATTGTGTGAGCGGTGTGACCAAGATTGTGAGCGTCGCACCCTACCTAAATAGGGGTTGCCGCCAATCGGTTCTCAGGCGTACATGCGGCTGTACACGATCATGACCTCCCCCCCTCCACGTACACGATGGTGACTTCCCATCCCTCCCTGAACCTTCCTCCCCCCCCCTGCCCCCGCAGACGCGGAGTTGCTGGAGATGATCGAGCGAGCAGACACGGACCAGGACGGAGAGATCAGCGCAGAAGAGTTCTACTCCATCATGACCAAGAAAACCTTCACATAATTGTTTGTTTTACGCATTGTGTTTCGTTTACTCGCTATTTCACCGTTGTTACCTCTGCTTTTCAGTGCCATGATTGTATACAGAGCGCGAATATGTAGCATAGGGTCATTCCTCTGCAGTATAGCGTTTCGTGCAGAATAATAACTTGTTCGCAACGACGAAATTTGCCGTTGCTGTGTATGCGTTTGCTGAAAAATAAGTTGAAAACGGCGGTAGGTAGGAGCTTGAGGAGAAAGTCCCATCATTGGCAGCCATGGAGGAGAGAAAAGGGGTTAAGCCGGCTCGCTGTACGTCCATGCCACTTGTCTTGTATTTCAGGCGCCGAAAAGCAGCGAGAGACCCAGTCAAGGGCCGCCTCGAACTTGGGCAATTGCTTCCTTGGTTTTCGATTGGGGACGGCCGGGTCTTTTTTGCAGTCAAAATGCCATATCGATTCCACCTGTGTACATAGGCTGTAGTTGTTCGCCTGGGGTTGTCCACACGCGTCTTGATCGCCGAGTACAAACGAATTCGATCCCTGTCGACAGGGTGCAACTATTTTTTTGCTGGGATTCTTTTTTTGGGAGCGGCCGCCGGTGGACGCCGCTTCTTCTGTTGATTATCGGTTGTTGCCAGGCTTACACTATTCGCCACCCCACCTTCTTGAAGCGGGGGGGGCAACCATCGTGCCCCGGCAAACGATGGAGGAGTGCCGGGCGGACAGCAGTGTTGAGTGTGGTAGCGGTGTCCTTGCCCGTACTCTGCACCTGGGTGTGTCCAGCGAACATTCAACCGTGTGCTTTTCCCACGTGTTTTTTTGTGCGCACAGAAGAGAGTATTTCTGCTTGATGGGCTTTACCGCTGCTTTCGCCAATCGGAACGACCGCGTACATGTGTCGTGTTTGGAATGGTGGGCGGTCCCGATGTTCTGCACCAAACGCTCTTGGCCCGCGTACTAGTTCTCGACCGTTACATTGCCCAATCGGAATGGCGGGGCGTCCCGCAACAGCAGTGCGGTTGCATTTCCCGCAAATACCGCAGCACTGTCACGGGATTTTTAACCCTACTGCCGTACCAGAAGAGGCTGGTCATCCTCTTCGATGGCGCAAGCGCCAGGCAAGCAACAGAGGAAGTTTTGCGGAAGAGAGAGATTCAGTGTAGAGTAGAGGTCAGAACGTCAACTGAATCCGAAGGCGATAGGCACAATGCGACCAACAAAGGGGGCAGGGTTGATGCCTTGTGCTCGAGTTCTCGAATTTGGACTCCGGATGCACACAAAAATTGAGACTGGACTGGACCGGCATCATCCCAAGTTTCATGGACGGGCTGAACTTAGGCAGTCTCAGCACACCACAGCATTCACACATTACTCGAACAACCAAAAACAACCAATAAAGCACGCAGCGGCACGAACGCCACTGACGGTGCAGAGTGTAGCCAACCTCCCCCCCCGACCGTTCTGTCGGACAACATCAGGCGGTGCGGCAGCGGCACGACTCACGAGCTGTTGCATCAACGGGACTTTCCTCTCAACACTAAATGCGCCACATCGCACTCGGCGAGCCAACACAGATCGAGAAGCAACCGCTATCCCAAGCCAAGGGCAGCGAGGAAAAAGAAAATGTGGCGTGCAGTTTCTAATTGGTCAACAAATCTGAGCGTGACGTATACGCGGCTGGCTGCGCCGTGCGGCACAAGACTTGAGAGCCTTCCATGTTCTCAGCAAAGGCTTCTACAGGGTAGCCTCCACCCCCCCTAACATGCAAGCGCCTCTCCACTCGTTTCCAGTCGGTTGCTTGCTGCCTGCTGGTCGCGATTGATACTCGTGATGTTTCGTTACGTTCTACCGCCGCTTGATGTACAACGTGCACGAGCATGTGGACGGTAGCGCCCCAAAACAAAACTCAGGAGACGCAAGGGGGAAGGACGCAGTGCGGAAAAATCGGAAGTCCTGATCCAATACTCTCGTAGCATCTTTTCAGCACAAACGACTGAATGAAGCCTGGCTAAAAACAGAGGGTGGAGGTAGCACCGCAAGTGCGATAAGACTTACATGGTAAGCGGGGGGGTAATACCCGAATAAGCGTATACTTCCACCCCGCTCGAGGTCGGTCTGAAGGACAGGCAAAAAGCACACACCAGCTATGTGACGTGTCCGATTTGGCAGTGACATTGCCGTGAACAAGGTACGAATCGAGCAACTGTCTTACTTGGTGCTTCGGTGAACTCACATAAGCGCGAAACCCGCGCTCAAAAAAACGAAAAATCAGAGGGTCAACGAGCGCCAGGTAGAATATCTCAACCAGACCAACTTGGACATCAGGCATGTGCGAAGCACCAACAACCAACAAGCATTAGAAACACGGTACAAAATGACAAGCCAAAAAAGGTGGCGTAGTAAGGTGGCCTGACCTAGCAACATAGTTGACCCCTTCGAGCCTACGCCTTGTCGAAAAAAAATCAAAAACAACGAGCAAAAAACACATTATTCGGCCAGCCCCTGGAAATTGCATAAAAGTCGACATGGAACAAGTACAGAGAAAAAAATGGAGGCTTCCATCTCGTCTCTCTCCCCCTTCCTGTCTCAGGGTCTTGTGGCTGCTCGAGGTCCGTGCGGTACAGTATATGAGAGGTGGCCTAGGCTCCCGCTACCGGCCCCGGGGCTTTTGGTTGATGATGACGTAGGCGAACACGATAACTGCCGCCACCTTCCAGCCCCCGAAAAGGACCTGAAAACGTACAGTGGGACAGAGGGGTAGTTACGTTGAGCGCGCCGTCTACTCTGAGAGGTCGAAACACGGAATACGAGCGAGCAAACAAAATCATGGGAACTTAATAGGCTGCCGAACCGAGAGATTTTTCACCGTGCCAAGAGGCGAGATTAGGCGTGCGCATGCAATGCGATAAGACTGTCGCACACCGCCTATTTTACCACGGCTTTTCCGACCCTCTTTTCCTCCCCGATCCTTCCGACGACGGTGATTTTAGAAACGTGCCATGTTGAGCTTTCCTTAGACGCGTCGGGCAGCTTTCAAAACGTCTTGGATATGGATGAAGCAATCGAGCTTTGAAAGTCTGTCTAGGGTGGGTGTGATGACCGGTTATTGTGAGGATTCCCAAGCTCTGGTGTTGCGACAGAAAATTGACCGAGGAGACATGGGCAACTTCGTCCCCCCCCGTACCTGTCTTTTCCTACGGTGTGGTAGGCAAGTGGGGGGGGGGGGGGGGG